GGGCACCTTCCTGGGCTAGTGCGGACATCGTGGACCTCGTCCACGATCTCCGCACTAGGCACAGGAAAGTGGCCGTCTAGGGCAGGAGAGCTGCCAGCCTGGCCACCCAGGAGCAGGTGTGCATGAAAATCAAGGGGGTCCACTGAGACCCCCGACCCTGAGCCCTGAGCTTACAATGGCCGTCCTGGGTCAGACCAAAGGTCCATCTAGCCCAGTAGCCTGTCTGCCGACAGAGGCCAACCCTAGGGACCCCGGAGGGGATGGACTGAAGACAGTGACCAATCCATTTGTCTCGTGCCATCCCTCTCCAGCCTTCCACAAACTTTGGGCAGGGACACCACTCCTACCCCCTGGCTAAGACTACTCCATGGACCCAACCTCCATGACTTGATCTCACTTCCCTTTAAACTCTGTTCTAGTTGTAGCCTTCACAGCCTCCTGCAGCAAGGAGTTCCGCAGGTTAACTATTTGCTTTGGGAAGAACAACAACTTTCTCTTACTAGTTTCAAGCCTGCTACCCATTCCTTTCCTTTGGTGTCCTCTAGTCCTTCTTTATGGGAACTCAGGAAGAACTTTTCTGAATGCACCCTCTCCACCCAACCCCTGCTTTTAGAGACCTCTATCCTGTCCCCTCTCCGTCTCCTCTTTTCTAAGCTGAACAGTCCCAGTCTCTGTAGCCTTTCTTCATCTGGGACCTGTTCCCAACCCCTGATCATGTTAGTTGCCCTCCCCTCTCCCAGCCTTTCTCTTCCCTTCTCCCACCTCCTTTTCCCAGTCTCCCCCAGTTTTTTTTCAATAAAGACAGAGTCAATGTTGGAAGAAACGTTATCTTTATTTTGTACATCAATAAGAAGGGGGGCTAGGGAAGGGTAAGTGGAAGGAGGTGAGGGAGGAATGGGGTACGAGCCCCCGATGGGGAGTACTGGGCTCGCTCTGCGGGCTTCTGGGGGTGGAAGCTCTCCTGCAGCCCCCCAATTGCCCCCTCTCCCCAGATGGCAGCCTGCAGCAAGTGCAGCCGGGCTGATGGCCGAGTGGTGTGATGTGCCCAGTGTGGGTACTCCGGGCAATCCAAGCCAGAACTGCTTTGCAATCGGGGCACCCCTGAGAACTGTCTGTCTGGGGTGTGGGTCGGGACCCTTTAAGCACAGCCCTCGGCTAGCCTGAGACAGCATCTCCACGCTCTAAGTTCTCCTCTGATGCCCTGCCGGCACTGCTTCCGGCCATCCTTAAGCCCGGTTCAGGGTCCACTTAATGTGGACATGCTAGTTCGAATTAGCAAAACGCTAATTCGAACTAGTTTTAGTCTGGATCCGTTAGTTCGAATTAGCTTAGTTCGAATTAACTAATTAAAACTAAGTTAGTTCGAATTAACGTTGTAGTGTAGACATACCCACAAATATACAGTATCATTAGCTTTTGTGGGAAAAACCCACTTCATCAGATCAGTTCCAGCACATCTGAGGAAGTGGTTTTTGCCCACAAAAGACCATGATAAGTGGGCATCCAGCTAACGAAAATCAAGCCAGATCAGAGTGTGTTGGACTCGAGAGGTTCAACCTATAATATGTTGTCCAATCACATGATTATTTAGTCATGATTATCGCTGAACAAAAAGGGTTGGTTTTAGATTTGAAGCTCTCAGAACAGGGGATGTCTTTATTTTTTAATTTAACACCGTACAATACATATTGTCAGTCTTTATTTGAATTGTGTGATCAAGTATTAGCCTTAGCAACACACTGAGGTGGGTTTCCAGCAACATTGCAAGACTAGGGCAGCTTTCTTAGGCTTATATGTAGCGTGACCATATGTCCCCTTTTTTAGGCCCTGTCTTGGCTGGCCTGACTTATGGCAAAAGTGGGCATATGCCTCATTGTCTCTTGCCAGTTGGCCATCAGTTGGCAAGAGCAAATGGGACAAATGCCCACTTTTGAAAAAAAAAAAAAGGATGAACACCCTTAGCAGGGCACAGAAGAACTTGCAGAGGACTCGTGATGATGCCAGACTCAGGGGGAGTGGAAGAGAGGGGACAGGGGTCTGGTGAGCAGTGATGCCAGCAACGTAGGACATAGGCAGTGGTTCAGGTCAGCCCTGAGCCCAGAAGGAGAAAGAGGAAGAGAGTCATGGCACAGGCCAGCCCTGTGTGCAGGTATGGGGGCTGTGTTCCCTCTAATATTTTCCATCCATGTGCAGAATAAATTTGGTCATGTCCCCGGAGGCTGTGGGTGCTGAGAGCACTCTGCTAATCAGCTCGGTGGCATTTGAATCTCTCCCAGGTGGCCACCCAAACACTCAGCTCACAAGAAACATTGATGGGGGCCAGAGCTCAGGTGAGTGGTTTGGGTTAGCCCTCCATGGTGTCCCATGTTCCCTTTGGGAAATATGATCACCCTAGCTACAACACAGCCTTTTCCCAAAAGCCAATAAAATTATCCCATGCATTGTGACAGTAATCTTCCTCAGAGATTTTCTGATCAATTGTAGGCTTTTTGTTTGTGAGTGACCACGTCAGCAGGCCACACACTCTCTACAATGACCTACTTCAGTGATCAGTCTTAGCACTGATCTTGTTTAATATGTATGTTGATGACCTTCCCCAAACATCATCACAGAAATTCAACTGTTCTGATGACATTGCTCTGACTACCCAGGCACAAGATTTACCTACCAAAAAACAAATCCTACTTAAGGACCTGAATACCACAGAAGAATATTGGTGGCTAAAACCAGATGCACGAAGACTGTTATGCCAGTACTTCATCTAAATATTCAAAAGGCGAAAATGTAACTGCATGTGGACAAACATCTCATAAAGGACCCAACCAGAGAGAATCCAGTGACTTTTCAATTACCACAGAAAATATGGTCCACTTTGAGCTGCATCTGCACATCACATAGCAGATGAGCTTTCCTCCTTCATAAATGGGAACTGAGACACATTCCTACTTGTCACTATGGAATCAGACTTCATGTCAAACAATGTGCTGTATGATCATATCTTGGTGGTATCTCTGCCATACACTCACCTTCACCTAAAGCAATCATTTGAATTGCCATCTTAGACTTGGACATTTAACATTGCTAGTTTTAAGCCATACAAAAGACTTTGCCTACCTGACCATGTGGGGAAAAAGAAGATGATGCAGAAGGTCTTATGCTCATTGAAACCGTGCAGGGCTGAGTCACTGTCCTCAACTTCACTAAGAAGGAGGTATGCTCTTAGCTCGAGGTAAAGTCCTAGTAAAGACAAGGCACTTCACACTAGGCTTCCTCATTTGTTTACTCATGTGAAAACAGGCGAAACTGCCTTGTCTTCACTAGAATTTTACCTCAAGTTAAGAACACACTTTTTTTTTTTCTAGTGAATACATAGCCATGGAGACCAAACATGGAAGCAGAGTGGGATCAGGAGTAGGAATGGTGAACAGACTTGTGGCTGTACATGTCTCCACCCACATACTGAATGGAGATGTGTGGGAAGTTTGCTGTGACATATAGTGGGATGGCGTACCATATTCCCTCCTAAACTTACAACTCCTACAGGAGCTCAGGAAGTAGTGTGACTCAGAGGTGTCTGTGTCACAATTTCTCTTGAGAGCATCTCTTGGGGTGACAATTAGACATTTCCCTTAAATAGGGCTGACAATAAGTTCTTAAACTACAGTAAGTAATAAATACAAATAAGGTGAAGGTGGAGAAGAAATTAATTTTCAAAATATGTAAATAATGTTAAAAATACTAGAATAAACACATTTGAATTCTCTTAAGTGCTTCTCTTCTCCCTAAGGTCCACTGGATGATGAGAGGGAAAATCTCTTCAATACCAAATAATATTGCTAATATAACACTTTGAATAACATTCTTGACAGCCCTTGGAATATTATAGGGAAATTATTCTTAATAAGAATGTCAGTGTTACTGTTTTTAGAAAATCATACCTAACTATTGATCTGTACAAAATGTTGTTTTCATCTAAAAGTGAATACTAAAAAAAAAAAAATAAATAAAAAATAGTGACTTGTGGCCAAGTTTCTGGTAGGACATCCTGGAAAAAAATGCCCTCTGATAACTAATACATATTTATTGAATGATGCAATCTTTGACTGTTTGTTCAGCTAGACTGTATTGTACATAGCTATCCTAATATAGTATTTTGTAGGACTGCATGGTGATACAAGATCCTGGTTTGGTTTTGCAGTTTTTACCCTTTGTCAGTTCTAAATATCCTCATTTTAAAAAAAGAAAAAAAAATCTTATTGAGTCAAGTGGGAGGAAGCATGATCTTAGGAAAAAGGCATAGGCTTTTATTTGTCGGGATCTCTGGTTTTAATTTCCATTTTTTCCCACAGATTTCTTGTGGGATTACAATGTAAATAAGATTGACATGTTTTCTTCTTACCTTCAATCTAGGGATAATTATGGTTGGAGTTATTGTTGGATCAAAGAAGACTGGCATAAATCCTGACAATGTTGCCACACCGATTGCAGCAAGTTTTGGAGACCTTATCACTCTTGCTATACTAGCTTGGATAAGTCAGGGTCTTTATGATTGTCTTGGTAAGTATATTTTTAACTCTATGTGCCTGTCATGGGGCGGTGTGCTCATCCCTCTCCCTGGTGGGGGTACTGTTGCATCTCCGAGGGTTCTTGGGACCACATCCAACCCTGCATGTCCTGAAACTCAAACATGCTTCTACACTCACACCCCTCTCACTGGGGCAGTGCAGCTCAGCAGCTGAAGTCAGTATAAATTAAGGATGTTAAATATCAACTAAATGATTATGCATTTTGCATCGACTATTTGATTAGTTGATAGGGTGCCTCTGCCTTTGAAGTGTAGCAACAGCCCTTAGGCTGTTACTACACTCCAAAGGCAAAAGCACAGCGTGGAGCCCTGGGTCAGCTGGGAACAATCCCGGACTCCACATGGTGCTGTCATTTTGAAATGCCGCGTGCAGCCTGGGGCACCCCAGTTAGCCCCTGGCTGCACGCAGCATTTCAAGGCATTTCAAGGGTCTGGCCCCAGGCTTCAAGTGGCACTACCGCTTTCAAGTACTCCCTCCACTTTCTCCCCCCCTTGGTGTCTCTTTCTGATAGAGGCAGCAAGGGGTGGGAAGTGACTAGTTGACTAGCCTGTCAGCTATCCGATAAGCATTTGCTTATTGAATAGTCGACTAGTCATTCACGTCCCTAGTATAAACAAACCCTCTCACAGGGGCAGTGCAGCCTAGCAGCTGAAGTCAGTATAAACACCCCTCTCACTGGGCCAGGGTGGCCTAGCAGTCTAAGTCAGTAATAAGTGGGTACAGGCCCCACAAGCAGGTGGTAGGGGGATCCAGGCCCTCCCTTCTTCGCCAGGACCCAACCCAGGGCCCTATTAGCAGTGGCATGCAGGGACTCCCACTGCAACACACTGAGCTCCTTGGGATACAATCTCCTGCCTTGGGCTACTTCCTACCATACTCCACTGAACTCCCTCCAGGGTCCTTCCTCCAGATCCTTTGTAGTGCAGGTGTCTCACTGGCTGGTTTCCAGCTTCGGTCCCTCTTCTGGTTCACCTGCAGGAGTTCCGGCAGCACCTCCTTCCTCCTGATCTCCTTCTGAAGTGCCTACTTCTTCCTCAGAGACCTGCCCAGACTGAGCCTTTCCAGGCTTTTATACTTGAACTGCAGTGTGAGCATGCCCAGCAGGGATGTGGGGGTGGGGCTACATCAACCAGGTGAGCCTGGTTAGGTCTAGCTTCCCCAGTCCGGGACTGGTACACCCCATCACAGTGCCTTTGAGAGGCTCTTACTTTGTTTTTGTTAAACATTTAAATAGATACAGATTATTTTTTTTAAACCAATTGATACGTGTTTGGTTGAAACAATAGGTTGCAGCAATTTGTTCTTTTTAAGATAAACAGTAACTTAAAGCCACTAGCTGCAATCAAAGTCCCTATTTTCCTCTTTTCTGCCTAACTATTACTATACTAACCAGCCCCAAAGTGTCCCAGTCACTCAGCACATTTATTTGTCACTGGAATTCCTGAACTAGCTCCTCTTCCCATGAAAAATAATCTGGCTTTGTTAGAATTTCTGACTATCCACCTTCAATTCAAATCTTAGTCCCCTCCAGACCATAGTTTGGCAAGCAAGGTGGAAGGATGCCCAAATCCATTGTTTGATTTCTCACACCCTCTCTGATGTTTATATCTTTCTTTTATGTTTAGTTGTTTTTGAGTAGAAAGGTCTGCTATTGTTTTTTTTAATGGTTTGTGGTTTTAGTCATTGTTAAAGTGCCTAGAATCAAGGCTATATATGTATACATACAAATTAGGTTGTCATGCAATTAAAAATTGTGAATAATCATGATTGCACTATTACACAATAACAGAATGTCATTTATTTGAATGTTTTAGATGTTTTCTATATTTTCAAATGTATTAATTTCAAATGCAACACACAATTAAGTGTACACTGCTCACTCTATATTTTATATTACAAATATTCACACAATAAAAATAAAAAATAGAATTTTTCAGTTCATATAATACAAATACTGTAGTGCAATCTTTGTGACAAAAGTTGAACTTACAAAAAACCTGCATTCAAAAATAAAACAATGTAGAATTTTAGAGCCTACAGTTGTAGTTCATCCCATCAAGTTTGTTTACATTTTCAGAAGATAATGCTGCCTTCTTATTGTTCACAATGTCACCTGAGAGTGAGAAGAGGTATTCACGTAGCACAATTTACAGGCAGATGCACTAAAGTTTCTTCTTCGAGTGATGTCCTCATGGGTGCTCCACCGTAGGTGCTGGGCTTGCCCCGCCGCCGCAGAACGGAGATGTTTAAAGCCATATTCAGTCGGATTGTGCATGCGCGGGGGTGTCTGGCAGCGTTTGCGCTCTCCTGCGCTGTGCGATCCAATCTTAACCAGTTCCTCTTAACCTCCTCAGACTGCAGATGGAGCAAATCCTCTCTCCTCATTGTCAACACTTGTGAGACAAAACCAGTTACTTTTCCTCAGTTTTACTCTTTTCTAGTTACTACTTGTTACCTGTTCATGTTCCAGTTAAAAAAAAAATTCGTAATAGTATATACCGCTAAGTTTCCATTCTTCCCCTTCTTGTTATAGTGCCTCAGCACTTGTACATAGTTCACCCTCGTTCTATATTCCAAAAAAAAAAGAAGAAGAAAATATACATAAAATATGCAGGGTTCCCCAGGTTTTAAAAAAATGCTCAATATGCCACAACGCCATGCCTGCCTCAGATGGTCATGCGGCGTGTATCTGTTGCCTTGGTGAGAGCCATGTACCACAAGTGTGTACACTGCTCAAACTCGCAAACAGGGCTTGTCGTGATAGAGAGATGAGGCTTCAGATGATCCTTTTCAATAATGCGCTCCAGCCTGTGGGATCATCCTCTCCGCCTGGAGCCAGTCAACAGCCTCAAAAGAAGAGTGCCTCCTCTCCGACTAGGGTGCCTCCTAAGAAGTCTAAGCCCTCCCCCACTAGATTGCTGCCCTTAACTTCTCAGGGCAGAACTAGCACGGGGTCTAGGTCAGGCACTTCAGTTATGAGTGCCCGTACAGCTTCTAAGACATTCAAAATGATTGATCCGCCCGAGACCTCGCACCACTTGGCTGCAATCTCTTCAGCGGCACTTCCGGTGGTATCCGCACCAAAGCCATCGGCACCGCCTGTAGCGATGGAAGCACGGCAGAGTCAGCACTGGTACGGGCCACTTCTGCATCCTCTGAGTCGGACTCGGCACTGGAGGGATCACCACCTCGTCAGCTGGCACTGACCTCGGCACGGGAGCAAACGGCGCCGACCTGGTTACAGAACCAAGAGCCACCAACCCCGGCACATGAGTGTTTGGCACCAACCGCGGCACGGGGCCAGAAGGCTCTGACTTCGCCGAGAGGCCGATCGGCACCAACCTCGGAACAGGGGCGAGAGGTACCGACTTCACCTCATCAACAACCGACACCGAGGTTGGTGCCGGAGTGGATGGCACCAACTTCAACACCACACATAGCCCCAGCCTCAGCAATGGAGCAGTCAGCACCTGCCAAAGCACGTGTGAAGACCTACCATTACCACAGTCCATCCCCAGGTTCACCGCCTCTCATGTTCTCACCAGCTCCATCACTTTCTCCACCTCCACCATCAAGCAGGAGATCATCCTGGCTTTCTAGGAGATATAGCTTTCCTGATAGACTGCCATCTCCTTTTCTGATGCCTCCTAGAGATACCTGTAGGTACTCTCATCGTTTCTCTGCTTCTCCGTCTCCACTTCCGAGAAGATCTTATTATCCCTCTCCATCTCTGCATTCACGGAGATCATCTTCTCGGCATGATTATACGAGGCATCATCCTTACAGATGTTCTTCTTCACAGTCGTCCTACTATCACCGGGACTGCTATGACTACCCTGAAGGTATACACTTCCTCAACTTCACTCCTCAGGATAGCCAACTACTTCGCGCACTTATCAAACCACAACTTTGATAACTACGCCAAGCTGACGGACCTGATGGAGGCGTTGCCAGAATCCAAAAGACCACTGCTCAAGTCCCTCGTTCAGGAGGGCTACGCATCCACACAAGCAAGTCTGCCAATCGCTATGGACGTGGCAGACACGGCGGCTTGGACCACAGCTACGGCCATAGTTATGAGAAGGGCCTCCTTTCTTCAATCCGCAGGAGTCCCCAGAGAGCTGCAAACAAAAGTGGAAGATTTACTGTTTGATATGGACAAATTATTCAGCAAAAAGACAGATTCCATCCTGCATTCTAGTAAAGATTCTAGAACAACCCTCCGATCACTGGGAATGTGCACCCTACCATATAGAAAGAGGTGTTATACACCATTTCAAAGATGCTATGATTATTTCCACAGTAGGCAGCAGTGGCAACATCAACAACATCAATTCGACCAACCACGTCATAGTCAACACCACAGACCAATGAGATGCCGGAACCCTAACAATTGCACACAGACTCAGCCCGGCAACAAACAGCAGGTTTGACGCGTTGGTCAAGAGCAAGCAGAGAGCCCCTCCAAGCCTTACCCACATGGTTTCACCATTGCCTAAGGCCCTTCAACCATCACGGCCAACATTACCACCGACAAGTGGGTTTTGGAGATAATCCAATCCAGATATGTCATCCCATTCTGTTCTCTTCCGCCCACAACCCACCATCCCCGACCCTCTTCAGGGACCCCTCTCATGAAGACTTACTACGCATTGAAATCACTCACCTGCTTCATATAGGTGTGGTGGAAAGAGTACCACTTCAATTCCACGGGAGAGGATTCTACTCCTGCTATTTTCTGGTACAAAATAAAACCGGTGGATGGAGACCGATATTAGACCTCTGGCAACTAAACAAATATCTCCGGAAACAACGTTTGAAGATGGTGACCTTAGCCTCCATACTACCTCCCCTGGAGCAGGGTGATTGGTTTGCTGCTCTCGACCTCAAATATGCTTATTTTCACATGACAATTCATCCCGTGCACAGGAAGCTTCTACGCTTCACAATCGCTACAGACCACTGTCAATA